GGCGCATCACTCCCCCCTCGGACGCCAGGCGTGGCGAAAGCCCACCGTCCGTAGAGGGGGCAAACAGAGGAGACAGAGTAGAGGCGGGTGGCGGTGGACTGCAGGCGAGGTCGATGAGGTGGAAGGCCGGCGAGGTGGACGAGGACGACGAGAAGAAAAGCAGCGAGTATGAGAAATTGGAGGCTGGACGCGGGGAATCGATTGTGGAAAGAAACAAGAGAAGGGTAGAGCACAGGAAATCCCTAAGGCCAGCAGACACGATTACGGGAGGAGGAAAGTAAGGGCATAAGCAGGAAGGAGAAGCCAGGTGGAAATGACGATCACAATAGGAAGCGGTAAGGAGTGAAACAGTAATAACAGAATCAGATCCATGTAAAATCGTGTGGGAACAGCCGGAGCCGTCGATGGTCGGCATCCATCGAGCGAAAAGATTTTAGGTGACGTGGCCACGGGTTCCTTTTTAGGAGCCCGCAAGGTCTGTAGAGTTAAATATCTTGGTTTTGAGTTTGATTCTTCACCCCAGAATTTGAGTGTATTCAACTATGTAGCATTGGACTCCATTACAAACTATAAGATGTTTTGACTTTTACTGCACTAATGTTTATTGTAGGTCTTATAGTTTATTTTCTCGGTTACAAACTATAAGATTTTCTAACTTTCCTAGATATGTTTTTTGCTATACACTTAGATATATATACTGTGCTTAAATATATAGGAAAAACAACACATCTAGGAAACTAAAATATCTTATAATTTGAAATGAATAGAGTATTTGATTTAAGGTTGGACCAAGTCCAATTAACTTCAATAAAAATAGCTAACTTATTATTATTAACACGAACACCATAATAAAGGGTGCTTTTTGCAATCAATCCGATACAAATGGAGCTTATTGCAAGCATTAAAGGAGTGAAGGCAGCGATATCCCTCAGCGTCAACAATATCATTCTGGAGACTGATGCGCAGCAGGTGGTGTGGGCGATAAAGGGTGATGATTTCAGACTTAGAGTGGTGGGTGGCTTAGTCCATGAGCTCAAAAATTTGGTGGTAGAAAATTTTGCATCTTTCATTGTTAAATATGTTCCACGTGATTGTAATAGGGTAGCACATGAGCTTGCTTCTATAGGGAGTAGGAGCTATGATTTAGCGCCCTCAGTGTTGGCTGGTGTGCCAAATTGTATCATGACTTTGGTGTCAGGCTATTTAGCCGACATGGTTGAGTAATGGAACGAAAATTCCTATAAAAAAATACCAATTCCTAAACGGGCTAGTAAATAAAACTAAAACAAATATTGGTAACGGGCTAGGCCTCGGACGACAGCGTTGGCCCAGGTTTATTTTTGCGGCCCAAACGGCCGCAAAATGACTGGACTGCCAACGGCCAGCGCCGACGAGGAGAGGAAAGCATGCTGAAGCAGACAGCAGTAGCAGCAAGTCTAAGGAGGCCGAAGAGGCGAACGAAAGAGAAGAGGAAGATGGTGGCGCCGATAGATCCGATGCTGTGGCACAAGGTGGCCGCCGTCTCCGGTAACGAACCCTTCTCTTCTCGTCTTCTCCCTCGCACCCTCCTCTTCCTGGAATCCTGTTTCCTCAATCAGACCACCGGGATGAGCGGTTGACTTGGGCAGGGGTCGCCGCTTTGGGGCTCGGCACCTACGGCGCGCACATGTTCCACCCCAAGAACCCCGCGTACAAAGAGGTAGATGACGTTCTCCATCATCCGCATTCCTCTACAGTCTCCAATTTGCTCCTCCCAATTTATCGATCTGCTTTTCATAATTCGGGTGAATGGTTTTGGCAGGTTTGGCACACCGCGTCCCTGTACCATCTCGTCCACACCGCGGCGCTGCTCGGGGCGCCCATCACCAAGAGCCCCAACGTTGTGAGTACTAGTGTCGTCCGCTTCAACGTTTTTGCTGTTACGCTGCCTCTCGGTTAATTTATATGACCTCTCCGATTCTTGCCGTATTTGCAGTTCGGAGGGCTCCTCACTGCTGGGATCGTGCTCTTCTCTGGAACGTAAGCAAATGTTCCTCCCTAACCAAATTGTAAATTATTAATTATCAGAAGGCATTGAATAAGAAAATGATTTGTTCTTGTGTCATCTTTCATTTATATTGGAATTGTGTCATAAAATCGTTATTGACGAGGATGGATAATTTTGTTAGGTGCTACACCGTGGCTTATCTTGAAGACAGGAAGTTTTCTTCACCGGCACCATTTGGTGGCTTTGCCTTCATAGCTGCTTGGGCCAGCCTCCTCTTCTGATTAAATTGTGCTTTTCCAAGAAAAAAAATCATAAACCTCTGTATTTGGTGCTTTATTTGGTTATATGAAAATTGTACTTGTACACTGTACAGTATGCACCTGTGGTTAATAATTCAATCTGTGATCTTGTGTTTCTACCAAAGCATGATATGCTGATGATGATCTGTTTTCTGTTGGTCATGACAGTGAAATTGCACCTCCTGTTTTATTAATTTAGTCCGAGTTCATAGATATGCCTTGTTCCAAGCTTGGGTTTGCTTCAGCTTTGGCATTTCAACGTTTTCATATATTCTACTGGCTTCTCAAATATGATCAGTTAGACAAGCATGACTGCTGCTGGTCTTCTTCATCCATGATATGTACCCATTTTTGTTGCTACAGCTTGGTCCACTGTTTCCATAGCTTGTTGTTCTAAAACATGTTCAATACATGAGGACAGTGGACATAAGTCTGGACTTTGTGGACTATTTAGTATATCAATGCTTTGACCATATTCTGGATACATGTATTACATCTTCCTCATGTGTTGCTGGCCCCAACACAACGCTCTGTACAAAGTAGTTAATGGTTGATGCAATATGTTCTCCACTTTTACATATTAATAGAATCTCTTCCAGTCATTCGCATTAACATAAAACCAGATACATGGTAAAAATGAAATTAGATCCCGATTAAAGTTCACATGAAGAATTGAAACATTGGAATATGGAGCAGCATGTCAGCTGTTGCATTCTGTAGCCAATCCATGTTTCCAAAACTCCCAAGTAACAATATGCTTCCACAAGGTAAAAGTTTGAATTGAAAGCAATTTTCCTCTCTATTTTCTGAATCAATGGAAGATGCCCCAGGCATACAGGAAAACATTTCCTTCTTTTGTGTTTTTTTTTATCAGTACACTACACTGCTGGCTCAAAATGACAAGAATTATGGCCTGCAAGATGGCATTAAGTGAATGGTGTAAGAGTAAGACTTGGAATAGTTCAGATTTTCAGAGTCCAGATTAGAAACATACTTGGATCTAGGACGTTGACTATTGCAGCTTCCAAGTACCACCATGTTGCTTGAATTTTCTCCAGTAGTTGTTGGCGGTATATGATGCATGGTCTCTGACAGTATTGCGAAGATAACAAGATTTGTGCGGCTCAATCATCACGTCTGCACCACCGGGACCACATGCCTAGTTAAGAGCTTGCTGTAAGACATCGTTTAGTGCTTGCTCATCAGCTATGCACCATTGCTTCTTCCAATTTCAGTCATCTGGTGGCATGGAAAGGCTTGAATTCTCATATGATTGGGATTATTTTTCTTAGAGGCATAGATTCATATTTCAGTTATTCTATCCTTTTTCCATATTCACATGCGCTTTGCATCTACTTAAGAAAAAAAAACATTGGTAATTTATTTGCGATGCATCAGCATGGTGTTAGTGTTTCTACTTGTGCAGTGGATCTCAATGCATGGCAGAGTAATTTCACTGTTTTTTACTGGCATGGTTAGAATGCTGCATTCCTTCTTAAATGGTTATGGTACATCAGTTTATGTTGTTCCCTATTTGCAGACATTTTCTCTTTCCTCATCTGGTACCAATTTCAAGAAACATGTTTCATGCTTATGGATTTTGTTTTAGCATCTGTTAGTATCTTTTTATGTCAATTTCAAAATTTGAAAAAGACTAGGTAATCATAGAGTACATGGGAAGAAAAGCACATGAGCCTTCTGGATACAGGATCTAGCAGCTATCCTCTTATGTTGAGCCGATGCTGCAAGGAAGTGGAGGATCAAATAAAGGAACAGTGTCATCCTTGTTGCAGGCTGCTTCTTTAGATCCCATCTCTTCACACCACCTGCATTTGGTGGTAAGGAAATATGCATTCTACTTTCTTTGCCAGCACTCAAGCTCTTATATGATATTTTATTTGGAACTGATTAACTCTACAGGGTGATAGTTCAAGCTGTATGATGTTTATGTAATGGCGAGGTTAAAGGCAGCCCTTTGCTTGCCTAAAAGTTAAAGGCTACATGTCCGTTACTTCATGCACAAATATGAGAATCTCCCTTCACACAATGCAATGCTGAAACAACAACATAACACAAAACTACACTCAAAAAGGTAATTATGTTATATCTTGACTTGTACTAATGATGTAAATTCAATTGAAGTTAAGTTCCTTTTTAGTTTCTGGAATGATGCTAATAATAAAAGGTTAAATAGCACAATCTTTTGTCTGAATAATGCATGTGCTGATGCTGCACATAGGCAATATGGGATATACATACACATATAGACACATAGTGTGCATAAGATCAGAGCATTTACAGGAAGCCAACAGAAAATTTTGAGATCCTGGTATATTATTATATGAAATAAATTAAATAATTAAATAATTCAGGGGCTGCTTTGGAGCTGATGTTATTCGTTTCTCCTGATTTTTGTATTCTGAATCTTTAATAGTTGAACCAAATTTATCTAGTTTACTGGTTGTCTTTCCAGGTCAGCAAAGTTAAAGATTGTTCCTTTCTTTATGATGCCCCCTTGACAAGGCAGGAATCTGATTTCTTTCCTTGTGTTGTGCTGTCTTTTCACACCACCTTCAGTATTGCAATATGTGACATCTGACTTCATAAAACATATTGTTCCTTAGCAATATACATCTGAATTCTCCTTGCATGATACAAGCAACCTTTGTCTTTGCTTCTCTCTTTCATCTACCCTCCACCATCCCCTCCTAAGCATGGGTGATAGGATGATCATGATAACGTCACCATCTAAGAGGGATGATGCCAGAGATATTGGAGATATTGATTTGCAGTCCTACAAGGACGTGGAGAACATCGCGTTCTACCAGGTTCCAGCAAATTTGGAATCAGTCTTGTCCATGGAAAGTGAGAGATCACTAGGAGTTCATGTCTGCATGGACAACAGTGGTGTCAACTTCCTGCACAGGTTTCTTCGTCACCTTGTGGGGTACAAAGAGAACTACATGAATTTGAGAAACATCCTATTCCATGGTATTGAATGGCAGATTCAGGGCTTGCAACTTATCTGTTCACTTTTAGGCCCTGGCTCAAGCGTGAAGCAGGTGGAATTCCAGAAGAATGTTTTCAGCACAAAATCAGCACATGCTTTTGTTCTACTCTCGGAAATGCTTCACCAGAACAACACCATCAAAGCAGTTGTTTTCTCTGAATGTAGAATTGGATCAACTGGAGCCACGTTGCTTGCTTCAGCTTTGGCAAACAACAGAAGTGTGGAGGAGTTCCAAGTATGGGAGGACTCCATAGGCTCCAAGGGGGCAGAAGAACTCTCCAAGATGATCGAGGTGAACTTTATCCTGAAGAAGTTGATCATCCTTGACTACAGCTCCATTACAGTGGCTCCACTTATCTCTGCTGTGCTTGCACGCAACCGTAGAGTGGAGGTTCACATATGGGGACACAGTCGTGGCACAAAAGGTGGCATGAATAGCTGTAAAATTGTTGAATTCCTGCCTGAGACTGGGAGCATGAGGATCTACAGCAACATTAACTCGACAGGGCTGCAACGGGTTGCTTGTGCTCTGGCATGGAATACCACAGTGACAACACTGGACATGTCAAGTGTCCCACTAAAGTCCAAATGGACCAAAGAGCTTAGAGGAGTCCTTGAACGGAACAGGAGCCTGAAAACTGTGAAGCTTAGCAAGTGTTCCCTTGGGGACAAAGCAGTGGTGTATATAGCTGCAGGGCTCTTTAAGAACAGCTATTTAGAGAACTTGACTTTGGATGGAAATAGATTTGGTGGAGTAGGGGTGGAGCATTTGCTATGCCCTCTTAGCACCTTTTCTCCACTTCAGAGACAAGCCAATACCACATTGAAGGTTTTGAGTTTTGGAGGAGAGCGAGCTAATATCGGCAAGCATGGTGTATCTGCTATCTTGCAGATGTTGGAGACAAACCAGAGCCTAATTCAACTGGCAATATGCAATGATGCAAGTTTGAAGCCAAATGATGTTGTCAAAATCTTTACTAGTTTAGAGAGAAATGCCACTCTGCGTAGCTTGTCTTTGAGAGGCTGCAAGGGAGTTGAGGGGGAGGCAATCCTGCAAACCATTATGGGCACTTTAGAAGTCAACCCTTGGATTGAAGAAATTGACCTTCATGGAACACCTTTGCATGTTGCTGGGAAAACGGACCGAATTTATGAGAAGCTCTGTCAAAATGGGAGTCTTGTTCTGCCAAATGATTTTCTTGATTTGCCACTTAGTCCTCCTACTTGCTGCCGTGTTTTTCTATGTGGTCAGGAATCAGCAGGTATCATCAGCAATTCAGCATTGTCCATTATTACCCTTGTTATTGGCTGTATGCAGAAATGAAGTAGTTAGATCGGTAACATGTTTGCTCTTTTAACTTGGAGAGTTGCTAATAAACAATGTAAAACCTCATTTTTCCTAGAATCTTGATCACATTCACTTGCGATACTAGCCACTCAATTAACACCTAGGTTTTATTAATACCTCAGACATGCAAAAATGAGAAAAAACAACAACTGTATTTTCACTTTTTCGTTGCAACTGATAACCCAATTTGTGGTGGCCATGCAGGTAAAAGCACGCTACATAACTCCATAGATCAGTGCATGAACCCATTGAAGTCGTCTCGCATAGATGTAACAAGTACTTTGATGAATCCAGTTGTGCAAATGGAGTACACTAGCGAGAATAAAACTAGTGCTTTCTTTGATGGCAACACAAAATTGACAATGTGTAATCTTGGTGGACAAGAGGAGAGTTTTCCCTTACATGATTTTATGTTTCTGGTGCATGGCGGTCCATGCTTTTTCATGATTGTATCTAGCTTGGTTCTGAAGCCTGCTAATAGGTATCCCAAAAGCATAGATCAGATTGAACTGGAACTGATATTGTTGATGCAAAAGTGGATCTGCAAACACAAAGGGCTAATACCCGAATCGATATCCAAAGCGTGCCAGTCGATTTGACCTGTTAATCGACAAGGATGAAGATACGAGCACTTTGGTCCTGACAACAGCGATACGCCCGAAAGTCACGGCCAAGGGGTACTCACGCGGAACTCGAGAATCGCCGAAGATCGCACTGAGACAATGCAACTCGCCGAATCAATGAGAACTCGTAAAAAGAAAAATATGTAAATTGACGAAGTCGCCGAAAAGTAAGTAGATGTAAATAGGAGTAAAACTTGGTTTTGATATTGATTGATATCTTCATTACATTGCCCCTCACTCCATATTTATACCCTGATCTAAAGAGACAACCAAACACAACTAGGACACCAAGCCCATATCTAAGGAAACACGTGACTCTTACATGAGTCATACTCTAACAAATATAGAAAAGGAAATCAACTCCTATCTATTTCCCTGTCCGCCTCAATTACGATGGAAATCTCACCGTCCTCCTTCCCATCGGCATACTCCCTGTTTCATCGGCAGTAGTCTTCAAGTCTTCCTTCATCGGCATACTCCCTGTTTCATCGGCAGTAGTCTTCAAGCCTCAAGCCTCCCTTCATCGGCATCGACAATAACACCTCCAACCTCATCGGCAACGCCCGAGTCTAAATCAACCTTTCCATCGACCACCACCAGCTATCGGCAACCATCTTTACAAGCTGGCTTTCATCGGTTATCAGAGTATACAGTAACTTTCCCCTTGCCGATCAGTCCACTCCGATCATTTTGACACGTGCAAAAAACGGTGTCAACAGATATATTGGCTTAAGTTTTTGGTTTCAAATGCTAAGAGAGTCTCACAATTATTTCTTCCCAGTGTAACTATAGTTCTCACCCATTATGACAAGGTAGCTCATCTACCAGAAGGGCTACAGCCAATTGCTGCACTTGTACAAAGGCTCAGAGAAGAATTCCATTCATATGCAGAAATTTACCCCACTGTTTTTGCCGTGGATGCAAGATCATTGGTTTCAGTAAGTAGACTCACCCATCACTTGCGGATGACAATTAAGACAATCCTCCAGCAAGTACCTCAAGTTTATGAAGTATGCAATGATTTGGTTAGAGTTTTGCATGACTGGAGGTTGAAGAATAATAAAGCTGTAATCAAATGGTCTGAGTTCCGTGAGATATGTCAGCTCAACATTCCAGCGCTAAGATTGAGATCAAGGCGTGATAATGTAGAGAAAGTGGACACAAGAAGACGTACTGTTGCAAAATCATTGCATAAGTTGGGTGAAATAATATTTTTTGAGGAGCTTGGAGTACTGATCTTGGATTGTGACTGGTTCTGTCGAAATGTCCTTAACCAACTAGCTACACTGAAATCAGTCAGGACAGAAAGAAGTGGTTTTGTCCGCAAACAAGAGCTGGAGAAGATTCTGCAAGAGAAGCTGTGCAACCAAATTCAAGGGTCAAACTGGAGAGCTGGTGCATCTTTCCAGGGCAATGATGTCATAAATTTGCTGTTGAAGCTCGAATTGTGTTATGAACAGGATCCTGGAAACCCAGACACATTGCTTCTAGTGCCATCTATTCTTGAGGAAAGCAAAGAAGGGACTCAAAAGTGGCACTTAACCATGCCAGACTGCAGATATGTTGGAAGGCATCTTAAATGCAAAGATATACACATGTTTTTGACAAGCGATTTCTTTCCAAGGCTTCAGGTAAAACATTCTGTTCCTCTTAACTAGCATAGCTGCCAAAAGTGGTATGCATGCTATTTGGAAATGTGTACCAACAACACCAGAATTACTTTCTGTACATGTTTTTGACTTTCTGAAACAATACCTTTTTTTCCAGGTTCGTTTGCACAACAAGATCATGTGCATGGGACAGCAACAGGGTGCAGTCTACATCTTGGAGAAAAATCTTATTTATACAGTGGTCAATGGTTTCCATGTTAGAGTGGAGCTGGGAAGGACATTAGACTCATCCATCGATGTGCTTGCATGCTCCAGCAAAAGTGTTACTGACATGGTGAGGATATTCCACAAGTTAATAATCCCGACCATACTAAACATGTCTTCAAGTTTGGTGTTCGAGGAAAGCATTATCAGGCCAGACTGTGTAAAATATCTCATACCACATAGGTTCCTCCAAACGCAGCTGCTGCCTCTGAAGAGAATAAAGCAAATTCTTTTGTCATTGCCTGCAGAAAGCATGTATGATTACGAGCATACATGGAGTGCAATTGAAAGCAATAAAAGGATCATCTTACAATCAGGATCAGATCATGCCAGAGAATTGCTATCAGATGATGACTTCCATGAAGTCATTCACCGTAGGTACTATGATCTACAGCACCTCGCAACTGAACTTGCATTCACCCCAGACAATCAGCAGCAACCTGAAATCATCCCTGAAACAGATGTGGTTGATCCTTCCATATTAGGCATTGCAAAAGGTGTTGAGATGGTTCTCCAAAGATTGAAGAGAGTGGAACAAGGAATAAGGGACCTCAAGGAGGAAATCGCAAGCTTGAGGTATTACGAGTATCACCTTGTGACTGAACTCCACAGGAAAATGGACTACATGATGAATTACAACATCCAGTTGGAGGAAAGGAAAGTGCCACAGATGTTCTATCTTGTTAGCCTAGATAACCGGTCCAAACAGCTGGTCACAAGAATACTGCCTGGGATGCGGTCCTTACGAGTGCACATGCTGTGCGAGTTCCGTAGAGAGATGCATGTAGTAGAAGATCAGCTCGGCTGAGACCTGATTCAAGTGGACAACCAGACGGTGAAATCCTTGCTACCTTACATGAGCAAGTTCATGAAGCTGCTGACCTTTGCTCTGAAGATCGGCGCACATTTCATCGTTGGAATGGGAGAGATGATACCTGACCTGAGCAGGGAGGTGGTGCACCTTCTGGACTCCTCGGCCATGTACAGCGTGGCTGCATCTGCCACGTCCATGGGGGCTCTGGGCGCAGCAGCACTGTATGGAAGGTCAAGGAATGGTGGCAACCAAGGTGGCACAAGCGACATGGGAGAGGATATGAAAACAGCCAGGCAATGGCTTGTGGATTTCTTGAAAGGGCAAGGTGTTTTGACGGGGATGGACATAGCACAGAGATTTGGCCTGTGGCGTGTTCGATACAGAGACGACGGCCACGTTGCATGGATCTGCAGGAAGCACATCGCAGCAAGGGAAGCGGAAATCTTCGAGCTGCCACTTTGAGCGTTCAGCGGCCTGGCGGTCCAGAGTTCAAAGAAACCATGCAAGGAGCTTCTGCTTTCAGTTGATAAGTGTACAATCTGTGAGGATGAGGATGAATGATGGTACTCCAGAACCAGGTGCTCGTACAGCAACTTTTATTAGCCAACTTTCACCACATGAGATCACTCGATAATACTCCCGCTTTTATCACTCCGTATATTTCTTTGTGTTTTGTGGATTCATGAAGCTATGACATGAAGTAAAAACTGTATCATCATATACCGATTGATCATATCACATAATATGTTTGTTCATTCTCTAGTGTAGAAAATCTATAGGGGTGTTAGTGTGTGATTTTATTAGAAAAAAATATGTTCCATATTTCCCCGAGCTAAAATAAATTCTAAGACGAAACCAGTTTTAGGATAGAAAAAAATATTTTGATGATTTTTTGAGATTTTTTTATAATTTTGTTGGTAATGTTTATTTGACTTGGGAGTAGACTAAAACCACCCAAAACCAGCTAGGGGTGTGATTTGTTGTGTGTTAGAAATTTAAAGTGTAGGATATTTGGTTTTGTATTTCAGGAAGAAAATCAGACAACATCAACAGTTGAGGTCGAGGGAGGTAAAATATACCTTTTTTCTACTCTTAAAAAACCTTTTGTTTTGCCAAAGGCAGATTATATTCTGTTCAGAAAGGACTTTGAATAAGTTCACCGTCTTTCTCACATTTAAATCATTTCCAGTTAGAAGCCTGTATAACTATTTATTTTCCTTCCAATGAAAAATATGTTGTTTATGGACTGAATAAGTTCACCACTCAGGCACTTCCCATTCCCCACATTATGCTTCTTGGCACGCTGAGCTTCAGCCTGTGCAGAATTTTAGTTTATTACACACGCCAGAATGCCAGATCGCAAATGCTAAGTTACTGGTTGCAATAAACTGAGCCGTCGGTTCCAGATGTGACTCAAAATTCGGGTGTTCCAAAGACACTGGGTTGTTGCTCCATAGGTTGCCTCGCCTCTGTTTTTCTCCCTCTGAATTCACCACTGCTGTGGTGTGTCTTTGCGGTGAGAGATTTTGTTACATTCACGAGTGACAAAGCACTGCATCGATTAATCGATGCTTGGCTGAATCCATGGCTCCCGTAGCAAACATTTCCTTACACTTACACACACTGCTTACTACGCGCTCAGCTTGGAAGATTCAGAACATCGGGCAGCCCTTGACGGCGATGCCCGGCGCGGTGGGGCAGGAAGCGAGCGGGCAGTGATCCACCTCTGTGCCCCACCACTTGAGGTCGTGGTGCGCGTTCTGGAGCGCGAAGAAGATGAGCACCCCCATGAAGGCGGTGCCGGCGTCGAGCGCCGCCGAGAGCACGTAGTTGTACTTCTGCCACCACACCTTGCGGTACCTGAACACGAAGAAGTTGAAGATGGTGCCCGTCACCAGCCAGGTGGCGATGTTGGTGGGCGTGGCCGGCGGCATCCCGGCGAAGCCGTACGAGATGACGGGCACGTTGATGAGCGCGATCCACTTCTTCTCCGGGAACGCCCTGCTCAGCAGCCACACCGGCACGGGGAGCACCGCGCCGACCAGGAACAGCCACACCAGGTTGCGGTAGAGACCGTGCCGGCCAAAGAGCCGCCCCGGGCCGATCAGGCCCCAGATCACGGACGCGTCGAACGTGACGCGGTACTTGGGGCACGTCCAGGGGCTGTCCGGGTGCAGCGCCTCCACGTCGCAGATGTTCTCGATGTTGTCCAGCATCCACCACGCCACCGCCAGATTCACCACGCCGGCGACCACCGTCCCGATCAGCTGCGGTGCCCCGTGCATACATGTTTTGAGTCAGTTTCATTCATTCATGTGCAGCCAGCTCCGAAAATGTCTGCTGAAGATGACGAGAAGGATCGCTACGTACCTGGGCCGTGTACATGCACCGTGGGGGGATCTTCATGTAGTGGCCGAGCTTGAGGTCGGCGAGGAACGACAGCGCGTGCACGGTGCTGATCCGGCCGTAAATCTTGAAGAGCAGGTTGGCGATGGGCTTGCCCGGCAGCGCGTAGCCGATCATGAACTGCGCGATGATGTCGTACCCCGGTTGCTGCAGAGAAATTCACGGACAAACAGCAGGTTCAGACTTCAGACGAGAGGATGCATAGATCGGACGATGACGGCAATAGATATAGATCGAAAGCGCCCGCGTGCCTGGTTGGTGGTGGCCTGGATGACGCCGATGGGGAGTGTGACGACGAAGGCGAGCGCAAAGGCGAAGAGCATCCCCCACCATGGCAGCTGCACCTCCTCCTTCCAGACGAAGGACATGAGCAGCGACACCACCACGCTGCCCAGCAGCAGCATGAGGAACCACCACTGCGGCACCTGCCTGTACTTCTGCATCAGCTTGGCGTGCACGTCCAGCTTCACGGTGTTCATGGCCGACTTGCTCTGCTTCCACATGTCGCTGCCATGGAAGAGCAGGACGTGGACGATGGTGGCCGTGAACCGCAGGAAGCCGGAGCCGATGGAGATGGCGAAGAGCGGGCTTAGGTAGAGCTTCCCGTAGCTGTCGTAGGCGGCGACGTTGAGGTCGAAGTCCTTGGTGAGCACCTTGGTGGTGTCGTACTTCTGCCCGGACGCCGTGAAGAGCTGGTTGGAGAAGATGGGGAACTTGCGGGCGTCGAACGTGTTGAACTGCCAGTAGCAGAGCGGCACGATGACGTAGATGAACATGACGAATCCCACGGCCGTGTTGGCGATGGACGCCCACGGCGCCACCAGCGGGCTGCCGTGGTACGCCGAGATGCCCGCCCAGTCCAGCGTGAAGGCGCCCACGCCGAGGCCGTGGTACCCGGACCCGACCTGCTGCGCCGTGATGCTGTGCGGCCACACCCAGCACGCCCACGAGAAGAAGGTCAGGATCGGCAGCAGGTAGCCCGGCAGCGCGTAGTACGCGAAGCTCGCGAAGAAGACGATCAGGAAGAAGCGCATCCGCGACGGGCCACGGGACTTGCCGCCCTCCTCTTCTTTCTCGTGCAGCGCCCTGTGAACACGCAGCACCATAGACCATCATTACCATTACCACCCACTCGTCTCACACAGGTCTAGTACTAATTGAGAAATTAGTCATCAGTATTAACGGAGTGATGATTGATAGACAAATTACCTGAAGAGTGAAACCTGGGCAAGATTAGAAGGCCACCACATCTCGGCAGGGTCGACCAGGTACCTCCTCAGCATCCCAGCCCAGCCGTACCCCAGTATCTGCAGTGGGCAACGGCCAAGTACAGATTGTTAGTTTTTTTTCTTTTATGAAACAGATTGTTAGAATTTCACCAATCAAAACGTCAGCTGTCTCTGCACTGCGTCAGCATCTCCTGTCCTAGTTTATCCTGATGGATGCAAAACTCTTTTTTCTTTTGTATTATTATACTACTTAACTGAGGACGAGTACTAGTTAATTAACCCACAAAAAACTAAAAAGAATATGTGCTTCCGCTTGTAACCTAGGGCAGCTACAAGTGTTTAATCAATTAACAGATAGCCATGTTTTCCAACTAGTTTTTTCAAGTGCATTCCTCCACAAAGAATGTTTTGTTTCGACTATATTTATTCACTAAAAAAATGTTTTCTCAGCTAGAGCCAGCAATCAGAAAGGGATTCTGAAGCTCCCCACCCCCACTATGAAATGTTGAAGATGCATGTGTGAAAAAAACAAATTCCTGCCAATTATTTGTAGGCCACCCTTAGTACACATGCAGGGTCTCACGGTGACATCTGCACAAGATTTTTCAGACCTCCTTTTTCGCTTTCTTCCCCGGACCCATGATTGGTGGCAACGAGAGAACAAATACGATATAGACTGGTTGGTTTGCGCGTCTTGACATATACTTAGACCTTGTTAGTTCCCAAAGTTTACTTTCTGTCCCATCGAATATTTGAACACATACATGAAATATTAAATATAGATTAAAAAATAACTAATTACACAGTTTACGATTAATTTGTGAGATAAATCTTTTAAGCCTAATTAGTCTATGATTTGAGAATGTGGTGCTACAGTACACATGTGCTAATAACGAATTAATTAGGCTTAATAAATTCGTCTCGCGGATTACCGACGGATTCTGTAATTTATTTTTATTAATATCCGAACACCCTATGCGATACCATATGACGTCCGATATGACACCCCAAAACTTTACACTATGGATTTAAACTAGGCCTTATCAGCTGCACTTTTGATTCTAGTCTTCTAGACTAAGTGTGCACGTTACGTTACATTCGCGTGCCAAAGATGTGAAGATGAAATGACAGAGAAATTAAAAATCAGTCAGTTCTTAACTCTAAAGTGCTACTTAGCTAACATCCATGGTTTTGATACTAAAAATAATTTGAGAGGTTGTCCCCTGGTTATTTTAAGCAGCAGCTATTAGCCTGTGCGTGTTAAACTTTGCTACAGTTCAGTGAAGTGTTCACCCGCGTCGTGCTGCAGCTGCCAGCTAGGTAGGTGTGGGCAGTAGGGTAGTAGGAAGGAGGTACCTGTGTCGTGAGGACGATGAGGAGGGCGCATGCGAAGCTGAGCGTCTGCTTGTAGTAGGCCTTCATGACGGTGATGGCGCCGATGGAGTAGGCGTCGCCGCCGCCGTAGGAGACGCCGCAGTTGGCGAAGATGGTGATGATGACGTGCTCCTTGACGTTGAAGGGCCCCGGGTTGAGGTTGAAGGTGCCGAGCCTGCCGCCGAGGAGCCTGACCTCGCGGTCGGGCAGCACGGCGGCCATGAAGCGGCCGGCGGGGAGCACGAGGATCTGTGCGAGGATGCCCGAGATGGTGAGCGGCTGGGTGCGGTACGTGAAGAAGGTGTTGAGGAAGATGAGGACGACGCAGGAGCCGAGCCCCAGCGTCCACGCCCGGAATGTCATCACCGGCAGCGACGGGTCGTCCGTCTCCGGCACCACCAGCGCCACCTCCTCCACCGCGCACCGCTCCCCCTTCCCCTCCTCCTCCATCCC